GAATAAGAACTAAAAACCCTGAAAGATGGAAAATAGTTAAATTCAAGCAGTATAGATCCAGCATGATTTCCCACCAGCTCTTTCTGGGGACAGACCCTCCCGCTGTCACAGAGTGGGCACGTAACTGAAGAGAACCAATCAGTCTATCTCTGGAGAAAGCCAGCTTTGTTTTTCACTGAGTTTGTTAAACTGGGAGCCTTCGAGCCTGGAGTTCTTAGTGCTCCCCCTAAGTATAAAATGGCACAGTTTCTTTTTGGAGGATAATTCAAGAGTATCCACAAAGATTTAAAATGAGCATTTAAAGGAGCATTTTTCTCACTCTGTTGAGATCTTGTTTTCAGGCATAGCTTTTGTTTGGCTCAAATAAATTTTTATGAGAATTATCCAAAAAATGAGCATTTTAGATGTTTTTATAATGAAATACAAAATACATGCAGAAATGACTATAAAACATTTATACAGTGTAAATATATACAGTTTAAAGAATAATTAAAACACTGATGTACCACTACCACTCAGCTTAAGAAACAAAATATTACCACTAGCCAGCTTAAGAAAATGAATATTATGCTTCAAAATAATTTGGGGAGGGGTGGTAAGAAGTGGATGAGGATATGGATTAAACAATATTTGTAGTGATTTGATAATTATTGAAGGTAGATGACGGGTACATGAGGGCTCATTATACTATTGTATTCTTATATATTATGGACGAAAAGGGGTCACATATGAAAGCTGACAAGCTCAGGGGAGGCCAGCATGGCAGGACCTACGACCTCAGAGACCGAAGGTAACCACAGAGGACGGTCTGAACATAAACATTCATAACTAAAAGCAGGACTTGGCAGGTAGTCACATCCTTGGCCTGTAGCTTTCTTGACAAAGGTCAGTCTTCACCTTAAGTGAGCCTGTCTATTGTCTTTTTGCATCTAAGATTAACAGACCCTTGGAATGTCAAAGTCATTCCTTTTTTCCAAACCCCTCAGGCCACACCCACCTCACCAGGCCACAGAACCCCTCCTTATCTTGTTCCCCCAATATCATTTCTATGTACTATAAATGTTAATTATTAACTATCCTATACCCAGCAATGTAAAAGAAGTATGTGTGTCTCTGTTTTACTTTTTATCCAAACCCAGAGATGTCCTCACTTTGCTTTCTGCTGCCCCCTTAATCTACCACCAATGGATTTCATGTAACCCCCCCTTAGGTCTCCCATTTGGCTCTAAACGTATAAAATAAGCTACAAAACTACCATTCTCTGGAACATTTTCTCAATCCATTGAGATTTTGCTTCCCAGCAATCATCGTCAGTTTGGCTCAAATAAACTCATAAAAATTCTCTACAGGTTTGGACATTTCTTAGGTGACAGTATGTAAGAAATTTTCTGGAAGGAAGAGAGGGCGGGAGGGAAGGAGGGAGGGAGAAAGGAATCGAACGTTACTAATAACCTTCGAGATCTTCAATGTTCCTCCCAGAATACAATGGTATTCACTCATTTAAATATGCCACAACTATTTTGTGTCTGTTCTCTTGTTGAACAGTTATTGTTTCCAGTTTTCGCTATTATGAACAGTCTGGCTATGAGAATTCCCATATGAGCACACGGCTCCCACCGCACATGTATAAGGAGTAAATCCGGAAAGGCTCATGCTGGGTCACAGGTTATGTGCATATTTCACCTTACTAGGTAACAATAAAGTGTTGTCAAAAGTGGTTGTACTAGTTTACATTCCTCTATCACGTACACACTGGAAGGATACACCCTGTAATACTACAGGGAACTAGTGAGTTATTTCCAGGTAATAGATTAATTTTCTTCTGTAATTTCCAAATTTTACAAAATAAACATGTATCAATACCTTGAAATTCTGAAATGTGTATAGATAGCTAATTATACACAATATAAGAAAATATACTGTGACTACGCAGACAGTGTGTCGTAACAGCTCTCCCCAGCCTTCTTACCTCCAGGCCCCGTTTACCACCTCCAGCACCAGGACGGTCTGCAGACGCTGGCACTGCAGGGCCTCCAAGGTGATGTTCACTCTGCACTCTCCCAGAGGGTGAACCTGGCCACTTGAGGGCTCAATCTCGAAAGGAGAAACCTGATTGGGAGGTCAATCCACAAGGATAAGGAGGACACTTGGAATTGCAGAACTGGGGGCTGGCCATGCCCAACCATAGTCACCCCCAAGCTGCCCCCAGCTCTTCAAAGAGCCATCTAGAATACCGAAGGAGGCAAGCAGGTGGGGGAACACAGCTGAGGGAGAGTCTCAGGATTAAGAGGACAAAAACTGAGTCTCCAATTAAAGGAGGAGGTCCCCATGCATTGGCCATGATCTGAGAGGTACAAGGCAGAGGGAGGTGCCACACTGGGAGGTGTGGGGACCATGCTGGGGGAAGGTGCGGCAGCTCTCTGAGAGGTCTGCCCAGCTCCACTTGCGCAGGCATTGGTCAGGACCCCGATGGCTTTAAGAAAGGAAAGCCAGCAGGTCACCGAATTGGGGGAGGGGTGAAGCTTCCAAGTGGCCACAGATTTCTCCTTCCCCTGCCCCCCAACAGGCTTGTAGTCGTTCACCTGGCCTATCCACCTCCTTCCCCATACTAGGCACACTGACAAAGGGAGAGGGGAAAGGAAAAGGTTTGAGAAAAAGAGTGTACCTGGAGAGGGCTCTCTACCCCTCTTCCTGTCCTCAGCTGACATAAAAAAGCACTGGTCTGACTGAGTGGCCCCATGGCCCCAGATGGGCTACACTGGCTAGTGAGGTGTCACTGGACATTGAAAGAACACACCCAGTGGGGACATTATTCCTTTTTGGTCTCTTCCTTCCATGACACCAAGACAATGAATACAAAGCACCTGCCTGTAGCCACATGAGCCTGGCCTGTCTTCTCCCACCCTCACCTCCCACCCATGCTGTGCTGACCTGGGCCCTGCGTTCACTTGCTTTTGAAGTTTCACCTCCCTGGCACTGGTGGAAGGGAAGGGCTGGCTGTCACCAGAGAGGCTGCTTAGGGCTCTCAGGAAAAGTGGCTTGTGTGCTCTAGGCGGAGTTTGGGGCCCAAGCTCTGCCGTCAGGAAAGAGCCCCTTTGTTTTCTTTGGTCTTTGTTCCTCAGGTGCCTCTCTCGGAACGCTGGGGGTGTGGCTGTACTCTGGGGCTGGGTTTCTGGGTCCCCTGACCTGAGCACATCTAACAAATCCCAAACCTCAACATTATTTGTGAGAGCTCAAGAGGATAGAGAACTATAGAGATAGGATTCCTACCAGCCTCGATTATGGCATAAATCTCAATACACTACAAAATTGCCAATTATTTCAACTGTAAGTTGTAACTATTCTTCTCAGTAGAAGAAAAACACAGACTGGGAGTTAGAGAACTGGGGGTCTCATATGATTCCACCACCCATTTGCTATATAACTCTGGGGCTCCCCCCCTCCCCCGNCTTCATTCATATTTACGAATGAATGAATGGAATGACCTGTGTAGCTGGCCAGTGTGGGTTTCCTTGACTTGGGTTGTTTTTCCCAAAGGCTCCTTCCTCTTATGGAATTCAGGTGCCTGTGCACTGTTTCCACATACACTTCACTTCTTGGCAGAGGAGTGCTCTCCACACCTACACCCACTTACTCAGAGGAAACTTGCACCACCAGGTTCTTATGCAAATCAATCTCCTCTTCCATTCAAAAACAGGAATGGGCAGCCAAGAATTACTCAATGTAGAAGAAAAGCCAAACAGTGAAGGAGAAGGACTCCAAACCAAAAGCTGAGGAAATAAAAATTAGTTTCCTTGGGGAAGTTTGAGAGGCTGCCACACCCATAAGACAGTAACAACTTATTGGGTTGTCAGAAAAGTCATGACGCATGTTTGTAACAGATGACACTAGTTCATTTTTGGAAGTACTAGAGTCATTGGCATCTATGTTATTGCTATGCCATTGGACAGCTGACAGTTCTAGCTTCATTCTAAAAAAAATTGAGTGATTTGGTTGAGTTTTGGAGATTTTACAAGTTGAAGATAGAAGACCAAACTGTGCATTTTTGCCATATTTTACTGTTTTATTTCCATAAAGGGAAGAATGCGCGTCAAGCTTGTGAAAAGTTGCATAAAGTTTATGGTGACAATGCTCTACAAGAACATCAGTGCCAATGATGGTTCACGAAATTCCGTGCTGGTGATTTTGATCTCAATGACGCTCCTCGATCAGGGAGGCCCACCGAGGTTGATGACGACAAAATAAAGGCATTGATCGAGTCAAATCCACATTACACGACATGAGAAATTGCAGAAACATTGAACATCCATCATTCAAGCGTTCATGGCCACCTGAAGAAGCTGGGATACGTAAGCAAGCTCGATATTTGGGTTCCTCATAAACTCAAGTTCATTTGACGGCGTGTATAAACATCTGCAATATGCTCATTAAACGTGAGGAAAACGATCCTTTTTTGAAGCGACTGATAACTGGTGATGAGAAGTAGATTGTTGACAACAATGTGGTGTGCAAACGGTCTTGTCTCGATGTGATGATTCGCCTCAAACGACATCGAAAGCAGACATTCATCAGAGGAAGGTTATGCTCTCAG